AACACAATCGACAAAATCTTTTCAACTAAATGACAGGGTCCTGGAGAACCCTCTTGTCCGGCTGAGACTCACACTGCGGGGTACGTCAGAGATCTGTGGGGAGTTTGGCAGCTGATGTATCTCTCAGGTCTGTTTCAGGAGGACGCTGAAGACGTTTTTATACTTTGTATTTGGATTTATGATAGCAGGGGTTCTGCTCTTTGGCATGGACAGGGCTCTATTTTATCAACTTTTGAAGAAAGCTTCGGCAGCAGTTTCGGCCATGGCAAAGCTTCCGAGTCAGTGCGAAGGTTTGGTTCGTGCTATGAGGACTCAAAATCAGCTGATTTACGAGCTAAACCATAAGATGGAGGTGATTTGTGAGAATTGCAGGCCACCTGCAGCTTCTGGGACTCGTCAGCATGTTGGGACCGACCTTGAGGACTCATAACACGGATCAGTGGAGTGGAATACCATAAATCTGACCATTTTGGATCTGGAAAGTTCCAGCAGGACTCAAGGCTGACGAGAACAAACAGTCTGCCTGAAGAAAATCAACAATTGTGGCTTATCTGAATCTGACTCCCCTGTTTGGCCTCAGATACGAGCTGACTATCAAAATTCTCCTGGGACATGGGTAACTATAGACAAAGCTTCGTCTATCGCAACCGCCCCCCCCCTAGAACTTCTGTGCAGGCTTATCAGAACTGTGGCCTATCTGGAAGTGCTTCATGGACAAATCTCAACGTCTTGTCGTCAAATGCACATGTAACGAGTCTATGAATGTGCTGCTGGTAGTTTTTTTATGTCTCAAATTGTGCCCTGATAGGACAAGATGTGAAGAGATCTTTTTGTGATCCCACTATCCGTCCTCATGGTTATTCCCTTTTTCTATCAAGAAGTATTCTGATAAAGAATAAGGGGCCGTGCTCTTGTAGCAGCAGCAACGTGCGCTGTGTCCATCTTTCAGATGAATGTACGAACATAATCTCACTGTATTTTGGTAAAATGATAATAAATCTTATTCTGATATCACATGAGACTAAAGACAATTACAAGGTTTGATCAATTGTTCAAAACTTGATCCCCGTTCATTAAAAGATTATTTTTGTTCCACTTACTGACCTGAAAGGCTGCGGGCGACATGCAGCGAACGCTCAGCCTTTATTTCAACGTCCCTTTTCTTAATAGGCCAACTGGTTTTGGACTACATGAGCTCCATCAGCAGAGCAGCGACGCTCACGAGGTATTCTTCAGCGTCAAGTTTTAGGAAATAAAAGGAGGAGGAGCAGGTTTCACCACCTTCTTACTCTGTGTGGGTGACAGCAAACCGACTGGCAGCATTTAAAAGGTGCATCGCTCAAAGTTTATCCCCGTCTTGTTTCTCACAGGCGTCATCACGTCACCTGGCCTGTGGGCGGGTGGAGGCGTTTCTGCTGCCAACAGGTATGTGTGAAAACCAGACGAGCAGCAGGGACTGAGCTGAACCCAGCACGGTTTGTTTATCAAAGATGTACTTCCTGTTTCACCTCCTTGACCAAAGTTTGAAAAGGAATGAAAATGAAAGTAAAGTCAGACATTTCTCAACAGTCTTGATTTCAGAAGTCCAGTCCCAGAAGACACCGTTCGTGCCCTGGTAACGGTCACTCAGTCTGATTTACTTATTTCTGTCTTCAAACAGCCGAACGGTGCAACTCTGGACTAAAGCAGAGCTGGCTCAGATGAACAGGAACGTCCCTGAAGACAAACATCAACTTACAGTTTGTTCTTAGTGTCCAAAGTCAGAGAGAACGTGTCCCGGTGCGTCCGACGGCTGAGCGTCTTCCTGGAATGAGTCAGAACGAAGAACGGCTGCTGGAGAAAACGAGTTTGAACCAGAAGAACACGTGCTGCTGGAGGTGTGACACAAAGAGACTAGACCGGACTGCTCCTGCCTGTTAGCAAAATATCTCGTGAACCACCGGTTGGATGTTCGTACAACTCTCAGAAAGTCGTGAGTGCTGGTAGATCTATAGAAACTTGTTGACATTTGGAGTCAGCCCTGTTCAAGATGGCCGCCACAGCTAACCGTATAACTGAGACGCTGAGCTGAAACTTGATGGAAGGGTTCAACTAGGGAAGTACAAGTACTGTGTACAAATACTCAGGTGGAAGTAAAACGTGCCGTTAAATGTTGTCTGAGTGAAAAATACGTCAACTTTTTACAGCAGGACGTGGTTCAAGAATGATGGACGGAGGACAAATGGACATTTCTTTAAACCAGGTCAACATGCGTCCTCTTTGTCTCTGTAGCTGGTATTTGTCTCCAGCTATCAGTGTGTGAGAGGCAGGGACACCTGGACAAGTCTCCAGTCCATCACAGGGAACCTGGACAGGTGTCCAGTCCGTCACAGGGACACCAGGACAGGTGTCCAGTCCATCACTGGGACAACTGGACAGGTGTCCAGTCCATCAGTGGGACAACTGGACAGGTGTCCAGTCCATCAGTGGGACAACTGGACAGGTCTCCAGTCCATTACAAGGACACTAGGACAGGTGTCCATTCCATCAGTGGGACAACTGGACAGGTGTCCAGTCCATCAGTGGGACACCTGGACAGGTCTCCTCTTTAGAGACTCTTCAGAGTTGCCAATGATCCTAACAGGCATGTTTTTGGTGTGTGGGAGGAACCCGGAGAACCTGGACAAAGTGTGCAGGACATGTACTTGGGGACAACATGTAAAGTCCACGTCTTGGAGGACCCACTGCTGCAGCTCAAAGTAAAAAGTGTCCACCAATGATATTTACAAGACGTGGAGAAGACTATTCATTTTCTGCCTGCAGCCTGCATACATGAAGCGTCAAATAATGAAACATGATGGACGTACGATATAAAAGAACACAAACAGTAGAGTGGAGAAAAAATGAACAAAACAGAAAGCTTGTAAAATTATTCCTTTAACCATAATAATAAAACATATTAAACTTGTCAAGTTACAAATTAAAAAAGGTGCTCTTTACAGTTTCTAAACAGTCTGGTAAATGCATGTACTTTTTACACAAATATATAAAATATGGCAGTTTACAGATTTATGAGCCGTTAATCACCACGTTTCATTAATGAGGTTTTTTTAATTGTTTTATGTATTCGTATTTTTTAAAAAAGTCATTATTTGTACTAATCCATTATGTTAACCTGTTTATTAAAAATATAACATCAGTTTATTATGTACTGTCGCTACTTTTTACTTGACAGTAATTTAAAACATATATACTGTACAGTAATTCATTTTTTAATTTTCGCACAGAGTCCTCCAGAGGGCGCCACGCGTTGCTGTTTGACCAATGCGCATGCGTACAATCTGGCGCTCCGTCACGCAGCTACTTCCGGTAGCACGGACAAAACCTCACATTCACGAATAATGTCTAATTTATTTTCATCAAATTATGAGGTCACAGTCGGTGATAGTATCGAATATGTACAAAAATATAAGTTGAAAAACCGGAAATGGTCATGGAAAAGGTACGCATGCGCATCGGCAACTATTAAAACTACAGACTTCGAGCATGCGCATTAGTATCCGTGGAGGTTCTCCCTCAAAGGCTGCTGGGAAATTTAGTGTGGAAGAATCATGAACAGATAAACACAGAAAAAAAGGTAAATGCTTTTAGAGTTGAGTGAAAATAACTCGTGATTAATGTTTTTAAAGTGAAAATAACTCGTGATTAATGTTTTTTACGTAACAAACGACGCGTCGTGTCTGTTTTCAGGACGGGAACTTCGCAGGGTTTGTAAACAAAACCTGAGTTTTAATGTCCTGACTCCGGTCCGGTTCTGTCCTGGTCCGGTTCTGTCCTGGTCCGGCTCTGTCCTGGTCCGGCTCTGTCCTGGTCCGGTTCTGTCCTGGTCCGGTTCTGTTCGTGTGTCAGATGGTAAGGAAACAGAAAATCAGCTCCTGTTCTTCTGAGGCAGGATGTTAAGACAGTATCATCAGATTTGAGTAATTTTGTTTAAAGATAAACTCTGTCAGTTAAATAAAAGTCCATTTGGATCAAACAGAAACTAAATTTAGTTTTGGTTCAGAGGTGCTGATCCCAGATGTTCTTGTGATGTTTGGGTCCGCAGGAGGACGCCGGCGCCATCAGGTCCTGGTTCTCCAGCCCGGTCTACAGACGCTACTGGCAGCACTACCAGCAGGCCATGGGCTGGTACCGGAGACACAGACGGGCCTACAGGAAGTCCTGGGAGGCGGCCCGCGGCCCGGTTCACTGGCACGAAGGATGTCCCGACGGCCAGCAGCGCTACGCCGACTGGCAGACCGGAGAGAGCGAGGAGGAGGAGGAGGAGGGAGGAAGCAGCTCGGACAGCGACATCGAGTGTGACGTCAGCAACATGGAGATCAGCGAGGAGCTCCGGCAGTATTTCGCCCACACGGAGAGACATCGAGAGGAGCTCAGTAAGATGCCCAAAGAAGGACGACATGTCCCGCATGTCCACCGCTAACCTGTCCATGTGTCTCTGCAGAGAGGCAGACGGAGGCCGAGCAGCAGGACGCGTACGTCCCCGCCGACCAGGACCTGCGCAGCGTCTCCTGCCGCGGCAGCGTGGCTCCTCCCTCTGAGCGGCCGGGGGAGAGGCGGGCCGCCGAGATGAAGAAGCTGTACGGCCGAGACGCCGCCAAGATCCAGGCCATGGAGGCGGCCATGCAGCTGAGCTTCGACAGGAACTGTGACCGGAAGCAGCCCAGGTACTGGCCCGTCATCCCTCTGAGACTGTAGGAGGAGGAGACGCAGGAGGAGGAGACGCAGGAGGAGAAGACGAGCCCCCTCAGCGTCTGATGGACTGTGGCCGTCTGAGCTGCAGCTGTGGAGCTAAAGTCGAGTTACTCTGAGGCTCGGAATTTGTTTTAACGGAAATCAGCTGAACTTGATTTGTCCACAGAGGGTCGGCTAACGTTCAGATTCCGTTGTTGTTTACCTCCTTGTGGGTTGTTGTTGTTTACCTCCTCGTGCATTGTTGTTGTTGACCTCCTCGCGTTGTTGTTCACCTCCTCATCTGTTGTTTACCTCCTTTTGTTGTTGTTGTTTACCTCCTTTTGTTGTTTACCTCTTCATGTTGTTGTTTACCTCCATGTTGTTGTTATCTCCTCGTGTGTTGTTGTTTACCTCCTTGTGGTGTTGTTGTTTACCTCTTCATTTGTTGTTTCTCGCATTGTTATTGTTTACCTCCTTGTGTTGTTGTTGTCGTTTACCTCCTTGTGGTGGTGTTGTTTACCTCCTCACGCTGTTGTTTATCTCCTCTTGTTGTTGTTTGCCTCCTTGTGGTGTTGGAGTTGTTTACCTCCTCTTGTTGTTGTTTGCCTCTGTGTATTGTTGTTTGCCTCTGTGTATTGTTGTTTACCTCCTCATGTTGTTGTTTACCTCCCCGTGTTGTTGTTTACCTCCTCGTGTTGTTGTTTACCTCCTCGTGTAGTTGTTTACCTCCTCGTGTTGTCGTTTACCTCTGTGTGTTGTTGTTTACCTCCTTTTGTGTTGTTGTTGTTGTTTACCTCTGTGTGTTGTTGTTTACCTCCTTTTGTGTTGTTGTTGTTGTTTACCTCGTGCGTTGTTTACTTCCTCGTGTGTTGTGTTTACCTCCCTGTGTGTTGTTTTTTACCTTCTTGTGTTGTTGTTTACCTCATTGTGGTGGTGTTTACCTCCTCTTGTTGTTGTTGTTTACATCCTTGTGTGTTGTTGTTTACCTCCTTGTGGTGATGGTGTTGTTTACCTCTTCATTTGTTGTTTATCTCATATTGTTATTGTTTACCTCCTCTTGTTGTTGTTTACATCCTTGTGTGTTGTTGTTTACTTCCTCTTGTGTTGTTTACCTCCCTGTGTGTTGTTACCTCATCGTGTGTTGTTGTTGTTTACCTCCTCATGCGTTGTTTACTTCCTCGTGTGTCGTGTTTAGCTCCTCGTGTGTCGTTGTTGTTTACCTCCTCATGCGTTGTTTACTTCCTCGTGTGTCATGTTTACCTCCTCGTGTGTCGTTGTTGTTTACCTCCTTGTGGTGGTGGTGTTGTTTACCTCTTCATTTGTTGTTTATCTCATATTGTTATTGTTTACCTCCTCTTGTTGTTGTTTACATCCTTGTGTGTTGTTGTTTACTTCCTCGTGCGTTGTTTACTTCCTCGTGTGTTGTTGTTGACATGAGGCTCCTGTCTGTGGCCGTCGGTCTAATGCAGGTGAAGCCCAGCCTGCGGTTCTGGCGTTCTGTTTGGGTTCTGGTGGTCCGGTGGGTCCAGATGTGATGATCCAGCTGCAGCTTCTTCTGATGAACGACTTTTGTAATAAAATGTTTTGTGTTTAAGAATAAAAACAACTTCAGATCAAAACGTTTGTCTCATTTTCACTTTTCATCCGTTGACGTAAACAAACTGAAAACTGCTGCTTTAAATTCATCAACAGCTAAAAGTTTGAGATGAAGCACAAAAACAAAAAATACCAAAAGACAAAAGTTTGAAATTAGATTTAAAAATGTGCAGACAAGCACTAAATGAGCAAAATAGAAGCTAAAAGTGAATAAAGGCACAAGAAGACAAAAGCAACAAAACAAATTGCTTAAATCCAGGAGGAGCTAAATGCTAACAAGAAATAAAATGCTAGCTTAGAGTCAGAAGTGTCTAAAAGTGGGTAAAGGTTAGCTAAAAGATAAGAAGTAGCTAATCTGTTGTTGACCCGTGACGTGCGTCTGTGAAGGTTATCGATTTAGAGCGGTTTAGGAGTGACCTTTGACCCCATGACCCTAAAATCAGCTGTCTGTGCTGACCCTCGAAATGTTCAGCTACAAACTTTGACATTCCTAAGTTGCAGAGGCGGAGCTTGGACATGGACGGTCCACGGGCTGCTGGACAACGTGGGTTATCTTTGGCGGCCATATTGAACTTGCTTTGAGGATCATCTCGGCTACTACCACTCCTAATTTTAACCTATGTTGTCTGAACACGAATGAGTTGGAGCTGAAAGAACGGCAGTAGATCACAAAAACTGAAAAATACATGGAAAAAATGAAACTGCTCAAATTAAAAGAAGCTAAAATGAGACTAAAACAGCTAAAATGAGCCCAAAAGAAGCTGAAAACCAGAATAAAATGCTGAAATGAGCAGACAAGCAAAAAGACAAGGGTAAACATGTACTGCTGATGGGTAAACATGTACTGCTGGGGGTAAACATGTTCTGCTGATGGGTAAACATGTACTGCTGGGGGTAAACATGTTCTGCTGATGGGTAAACATGTACTGCTGGGGGTAAGCATGTTCTGCTGATGGGTAAACATGTACTGCTGGGGTAAACATGTATTGCTGGGGGGTAAACACGTTCTGCTGATGGGTAAACATGCACTGCTGGGGGTAAACATGTATTGCTGGGGGGTAAACGTGTTCTGCTGATGGGTAAACATGCACTGCTGGGGGTAAACATGTATTGCTGGGGGGTAAACATGCACTGCTGGGGGTAAACATGTATTGCTGGGGGGTAAACATGCACTGCTGGGGGTAAACATGTATTGCTGGGGGTAAACATGTTCTGCTGATGGGTAAACATGTACTGCTGGGGGGGGTCAGCCTTCAGCCCAGATGTTATCTGTTTATAGAACCTCGTCCTCCAGATGTGCAGAATGTGTCTGCTTCGTTCTTGTCCTGTTTGATGTTTTCAGCTCGTCAGAACCCCCCCCCCCCCCCACCCATCACACCCCCACGCCCGCTGAGAGGACCGGTTGCCACGGCAACACGGAGATGCAGAGACGTCCAGGCCGTCATTTTGAATCTGTGCTCGCTGCCGCCCACACGAGCTGAAACACACAGGCAGGCAGCGGGGGAGGATGAGGAAGATGAAGATGAGGATGATTATGACGAAGATGGCCCCGCCCTCTCCACAGTGACTCCGTGCAGCTGTGGATGGAAGCAGCTCTGAGCCCACTGCTCAGCTGCTCCCTACAGTTGGTCACAGATGCAGCAGCTCCTGAGTCACATGACTCGGGCGGAGGGCGGGGTCATGTGACACGAGCTGGGCGGGAGCCAAGAGATGTGTGGGGTGGGGCAGTTGTGATGGCTGCGTGTGGAGCAGACGACACAAATCTGGGCCAGCAGGATTAAAAGCTCGCTGTGGAGAGGGGGCGGGGTCTGTGTGTGTGTGTTTGCATGGATTTGCATGAAGCTCCTTTGTGTTCTGATGAAGCAGCTGCTGCTGCAGGTTCTGTTTGTCCTGCTCGGTTCTGTGAAGGCCCGCGTCCTGACGAGACCGACCCGGTTCTCTACGTGTCTCCGGTAATCTGTGCGGCGCGTGTGAACGTGTTCTGGAGACGGATTAACCTTCGTCAGCACCCGGCGGGTCTGCTCATGGAGGATGAGAGGGAAGCGTCTCCATGGCAACCGATCACCGAGGGCTAGGGGGGCGGGGGTGAAAGTGGGTCATCATCATCATCGTCGTTGTTGTGGCCACGGATTGAGGTCCTGGATCTGAGCAGAACCAAAACAAATGAACTGAAAGACGGTTCTTTAGATGTTTTATGAATTAGAGTTGAAGGTTGATCGCTCAGATTATGATTTATTATAAATAATCTGACAGCAGCTGCTCGCTGTAAATAAATCATGGGCGGAGTCATGTGACAGGAAGTGAGCGTTCTGCGGCCCAGAGTCGCTCTGAGAGAGAAATTAACCAAAGTGAAGTCGATCCAGATTCACCGTTAGATGATGAAATGTTTCAGAGCCGTGACGGTGACGTGTTGCGCTCAGAACACGCATGACGGATCACTCTCAGCTACTACCACTTCAAGCTGCAGCTAAGAATCCTTTAACAGACCAACTCGTTGGTTCATGAGCTGCAGCGGCCATCTTAAACTGGGCGTGTTGCCACTTTCTGACAAGTTCATTAAATGCATCCGTAGTTCAGGAGATATTTTGCTAACACAGCAGACAAATGCACAGAGAAAAAAACATGGCTGATCTACATATATATATACAGTATACACATATATATATGTGAGTGTATATTAATTTCAGTTTATTTACTGAATATAGCTCCAAATCACAACAAAGTTGTCTCAGGACATTTTACAGAAACATTCACATAAATAAAAAAATCAATTAGTAAAGTTCTCTATCTAAGGATGATAGATGTATCTCTATATATTTATATCTATATATATATAGATATAAATATGCATGTATGTAATGTATGGCAGCGTCCATCTTGGATTTTGACGTAGCGACCTCATGTTCGGTGGTGGACTTTCTAATGGAAGTCAGTACCTCACTTATTTGTAGGACAATAAAGAAAATGCATTTGAGGTCAAATTTAAAAAACATCAAAGGAAAAAAAAAACAAGGTTTAGAATTTAAACCCCCCTCCTCCACATGACACACCCTTTTTAAGGTGGTCTTGAATGTTACTTAATAAGCCGAAGTTCAGCTGAGAGTTTTGGCGTCTTGTTTGTGGCAAGAGCAGATTTTTACGTCTCAGATGCTCAAACAGCGACGGGGAACTGGAGCCATGTTCCTCCCACCACTCCTCCTACAGACTTATTAAAAACTCTTTGTTGCATCTTCCTCTCCTGCTGCTTCGAGTTGTTGGAGGAAAAAAAAGCTTCAGCTCCTCGACTCTACTGATAATCTGCCACCCGCTGGAGATGTGAAGGAGAAACGTTTCTGTTTTAACTCTCACGTTTTACAAACGTCCCTTGAGTCAGCCATAAATTTGATGTTTCCTGAAGCTTAAGACGTCGCGGGTCATCTGAACCGCACCCCACTGTGACTTTCAGGCTCTCTGACCAATAGATAAACACAAAAACCACTTCTGGTCCTGAGCAACATGTCAAGAAGACCCTTCAAGGTCAACAGGACGTCTGTGGGAAGACCG